TTTTTCTAAGAATATTGACCAAACAAGCAACTCAAAAACGCAACTCAACACAATATAACCCAAGCCTAGAACAAATACCTGATTGCATATTAGCGTTGTGGTTTTTCATAAAAAAATGTTTCAATTGTGTTTTTTAAACCGAAATGTTGATAAAACTTTAGGAAAAGTTTGCAATAACTTTTTGTAATGTGCCATTGAGCAACTTATAAATTTAGCAAGTTTATCATACTACAATACCTTCGAGCTTTGAGGAATAAAATACATTTTTTTAAATAATTTTCTCTTGAGTTTCTCTCCTTGAGTAAGCCTCAATAGACTGAAAAATAGGGTGTTCATTTTGAATCACCTTGTATACTGCAAAGCAATATTATGTTTTATGTGTGTAAAATGTTACTTTCTCTTTCCCGTTTAAAACATCAATCTATTCCTATCTATTTATTTAGTGAATCACATTCATGACAATACGAAATCAAGTGGTGACGAATGAAGCGCAATTATATATATAATTCATTGCAACTCGTACGTATCACTAAAACCAGAGGTTTGTTGTTGGCTGGCGTAAAAAAATGATTCCAAAATACAAACTAATCTATTTGAATACGTACGGACGAGCTGAACCTTTAAGATATATGTTTGCCTATGCTGGTCAGGACTATGTCTACGAAATAATTGAAAAGGAAGACTGGCCTAAGTTAAAACCAAGTAAGTTTTCAAAAAGAAGCTTTTTTATTTGGAAAATGTATCTTGAATATATAATATTTTGGCCCAAAGAAATGCATAAAGTAAAAATGTTGCAGTTATATACGAGCCAAATTATTTTCGGCTTATTCCAGTGCTTTTCAGATACGCCATATGGACAACTACCAGTTTTAGAAGTTGATGGAAAGCCTGTAGCGCAAACAACTGCGATAGCACGGTATCTTGCAAAGCAATTCAATATTCAGGGAAAGGATGACTGGGAAATCTTACAAGCTGATTCCTTAGTGGAGGCACTGGTGGATTATCGCGCATGTAAGTAAATTAATTTGAAGTCAAAATCAAATCTTTAATACCAATTCAATAATCTTCAGAATTGGAAAATTCTAAAACAAATCGATATAATTGCAGGTGCGAGAAGATTATACACAGAACAAAACCCTGAAAAAATTGCAGAAATTAAAAAGGAGCAAACAATGTACCTAGAAAAATTCGACACAATATTGTCGTCAAACCCATCAGGATTTCTAGTTGGTTCGGAGGTAAGCTAAAGAAGATGTAATAAGTTTTAGAGAAACACTGGCATAAGTTACAAGGCCAATAGGGTCTTTGCATGAAATTTATCTTTGCGGAAAACATGGTAACATACAAGCTTTATTGCATGTAAAAGGGACATGATGTTTAGATGATTGGGCCTCTGAATAAAAATAAAAACTAATTGCTTTTTACAATTTCTTCGAAAATTTTTGGGAATCTGGAAAGACTTAGCTAATCTAGAACATCTGTTGAGCTGAAGATCAGCTGTAAAAGAGAAGGTGATATTTGTATAGTAAAATGTAAAATATGTCCCGAGTATACACCACCTACAAAAACGTCCAAAACACCAGTCCGCTCGAAGAATTATCCCATTGTCATGGTGGTGAACTAAAAAAAGAAACAAATTGTGAAAACAGAGTGCCAGAACTATGCGGTAGCACAAAATAAAAGGTTAAAACACACGATCGGTTTTTTGTGGTTTGTATAGGGCCATCGGTTATAATTTATAACAGAAATTAAAAATGAACAATATAAAGGGTATTAAATTTTAAAGTACATATACAAGTTTGGTGTGTTACGTATTTTCGGGTGAGAGACGTTTAAAACGGGTCTACATAAAGATGAATTACCCTTGATTAGCTACAATTTAGTATACAACTGTTTGTTCTCAGTTTGAATAAGAAACTATCGGACTGGCGGATAAATTTTAGCCAGTGACTGTCCAGAGAAAAATATTAGTAACATTTTATAACATTTTCAGATTACATGGGCAGATTTAGTTTTTGCTGCAGTTCTTTCAGGAAGACAAGATGATTCGGAGGCTCGAAGTGCCGCTTTATCAACTCTTGTTGATAAAATTAATAATATTCCCAATATTAAATCTTGGTGAAAGGCAAGATCTAAGAGCAACGCATCCGCAAAATGATCAAGTAATATAATATTGATTGACTTACACCAGTTCAATTAGTAAATGTACTAAAAAGTGTGGTTTAGAATTAATAAACACTGTATCCGTAAATGTTATACATATTATTACTCGCTACAGGAAAAACGAAAAGGTCACCTAGACTTTTTCCCCTGTAGCATAAATACCGACATACAAATATTAATTGAGAAATAAATCAACTGATGAAATTTTAAATACTATATATTTTCAAAATAAGACGATAATGACCAGTAACATGAAATCTCAATCGTTTCATGAAATTGAATTTCAACTTTTCAACATTTTTAATTTTCCGTCAGTTTTATCATTGAATTATCTTCGCAAAAAGGCTTTCTCCGCATCGCTATTTTTTACCAAAACTATAAAGTTTGGTGTGCCTCCTTTTATAACATACCTACAAAGATAAGCTATAACATTTACTTGTTGAATATTTGATGTGGTACATACCCCTGAGTTTTTAAAACATATCCTAATGTTTTTTCGTTATCGACTTTAACAATATTTTGGTTGATTGTTTCAAAATATATATTTACATTGTCGGGTCGATATGCTTTGGCTCGATCCCACTCTGGATATGTCTCGAAAACTATATGCAACTGTTCAATGAAGCTGAAAATCCAAAACAAAACAGGTTGATATTTCAAGGCAATCCAATCAAATAATTTCAACAAACATATTTACCTATCTTCGTCCGCAAACTCTTTAATATAATCCATAATTTTATATTCCGGGTAAACTAAAACGACAGGCCACACTAAACAATTTGTTTCTCTGTTAAGATACACTCTCTGGTTTGCTAATTCTGGAAAACATGGCTCCAATTTGCTTAAATCTATATTGTCTGAAAAAGAAGGCAAACCCAACTTAGCTAAAATTCGATTTACAAGTAGAACACTTACCTTTGCCGCCACCCTCTATCTTGTACCCTCTTGAAACTATTTCTGCGATTAAATCTTTTACGGACTGATTCGCTTTCTTATTATCTGCATCCCTCTTTCGGTCGTTTCGTTCCTTCAATTTCAAGGCATTAACACATTTTTTCCTTAAGTTCAGAATATCCTTATTTGTTTTGTCTGATTCTAAAATATTGTCGCAATATTCAATGCCTTTATCATAGCGTGCTAAATGATAGCAACAATTTGCTGCACGGTTTAGGACTTTTTCATAATTTGGTTTAATTTTCAATGCTAGCTCGCAATCTCTTAAGCACGATCTAAAAAATGTGATTAGATATATGTTAGTTTGCTGTATAAAATGACCACCAAATTTACTATTAGACTATTTCCTAGATAATACTATTTCCCAGCTCACAATTAGTCGCCGGAATGAATTCAACCAAACATAATTCACACAAAACATTCAGTGCAACAATAATATTACCTACATAAGTACATAGACTCAACCTACAAACAAAAACTAAAATCACACAAATAAAAAAAAATACATCCGGAATGAATTTTAGCACTAGGTCCAGGTCGGTGATGTTACTATTGGTAAGTCAAAATTAATTCCTGGATTTCAATCATTTATTAAATTTTGTCTCATGACGATCAATACACACTAAACCCTCCTCGACCTTTGGCCATCTGGAATCATACGAGCATTACTTCAAATGATGGGGAAAAAATGTTCTTTTTTGCTTTTGCTAGTCTTATGTTTTTGTTCCACTTTCTGACAGAAAGTTGTTGATATCAGTAAAATGCTAAGCATGAAATAAGCGTTGTTGTTCATGCGGGTTTCTCAATCATTCATTTGCTTCTGATTTTGGATGATAAAATCGATTTTGATTGAAAAGTTGGGCACTCCACGCAGTGTAATAATTTCTAAGCGTAAAAATTTACTTCTCAAGAAGAAAATCAGTTAGATCGCAATCAGATTATTGTATCTCAAACATTACAGCATAAAGCAAAGTCCGAAATTTGTGTCAAAAATAAAAAGAAAAAAGAGAAAATTTAGTGAGCTGTAACTCGAAAAATATTCAGATTTCGAGTTTTTCTTACATGACCTGCTATTATTATTTTAGCATGTAGAACCTCCCCTAAAATTTTCCTAAAGCATTTTCCGAACACCCTATATAACACAAAATGTGTTTTTTGCAATTTTTTCTGCTCTCCAAATAAAACAAGTAACCCATTAAAAAGAAAGACGTCAAATTTTAACCAGCCCATATGATTCAAAAATAGTTAAGTTGTACATTTAATGCCACAATTTTTAGATAGGCCAACCTTCGAAGATCGCTAAAGTTTTAAGTTATTGATTAAAGTCGTCAGATATAACGGATACAAAAAATATTACAAAAGTCAAAACTCAAAAGCAATATAAACGATGATCTTTAAAAAATCCTTAATAACACATTGAAAAAATCAAATTATCCCTTAATTTTAAGATAAATAAATGTTTTTACCGATAATTCTGTAGGAACCAATGTGCTGCAGCTCTATTGTTTAATAAACTCGAGTCAATTTCAGAGTCTCCACATTTTTGTTTAATTCCTTCCGTGTAAGCAACGATTGCCAATCTATAGTTCTTGTGTTTAAAATTAAAATTCCCATCATCTTTATAAGAAATGGCTAATTCTGCAAATTAAAGCGAAAACGTTAATAACATTTACAAAGCAAAGGAATATTTAGACATGTAAAAAAACTTTGATATACCTATTTTAAATAATTTAAATAAACTGTCTCCACTAAACCTGGGAAAAATCATAAAGTTTTGAGCCTTGAAAGGGGTTGAAAAATGCATAATTTAAGAAACGCCACTAAGAAAAAGTGTTAGTAATCTTCAACGTAAGTAACTTTTTATTGTCAAACCCCCGAAAGGCACAAAGTAGATGTAATTTGTTGCTATTATATTAAATAAATTTCTAAATAAAGCGAAAATACATAGCAATCATTTATTTCGAAAACAAAAAAATTACATTGTGCTTTCTTACCTTGTGGTTCATTTTCGTCCGGGTCATATTTTAGTTTTTGTAAGCCTTCATATAATGGGTGAAGTTCATCTCCAAGTTTTGGAGCTTCCTTCATAAAAAATGGATGCTTGTCCATTTCCTAAAATTTAAATGTCTTCAATGTTGCAGTGTTAAATAGAGCCACTGTAATGGGTTAATTATTTAACTTAAATGTAACATAATTAACTGAATAAATGTGACCATTTGTTATTGCATTAAAGACAAGAAAATGGACAATTGCACTTAAAAATACAAAGGAAATTTATCTCGAATTTTCGAAAGGGAAAAAAAATCACCTCTTCCCATCGGTCTTCAGGCCAACCGTCCTCATATTTTGTTTTAGGTAAACTATTAATGTATTCATCTAATTCATCATCCAGCTTTTTGGCCAATTTTAATCGTTCCTCATCAGTCATGGGCTGCTTGGCACTGGGATTTATTTCTGGTTCCATTTCTTAAAACACAATTAAAGAACTTAGAAATACAGGATAAGACAGAGCAAAAATATTGTATTTGTTTTGAGATAAACACATTTACATTCGTAACACAAGAGATAAGCTGAAATTTTCTAACCTATCTTGTTCTTCTTTGTAGTCATTAGATATTTAATACTGAATTTACTCTCTACGGGAGAATTTTCAGCTATTTTATAATGCAATAATGCATTTTTAATCAAATAAACCTACAGTTCGCCAAAGTTTAATGATGAAAATATTTCAGTTTCTCTTTTGTTTGCCCCTCAGATGAAAACATGGCGAAACCTCATACCAAAAATTTTCTATTAGACATAACCTGCTCTTTACTTTTGAACGTAACCTATAAGTCGCAGGGTTAGCGAAACTGCTGAAATTTTTTAAACGCAGTTTCGAAAAAGAATATTTCAAATGGGGATGATTGCTAGCAATGCCTATCTGGCGGCTTTCAGTGCTGGCACTGTTGTTGGGATAGCTTCAACTTATGTATTCCTGAAATTTAGGAATAACTGGCATACACAACATGAAAACAAAGTTAAACAAGATCCACTTATCATGGAAGAGAAATATGAGGTAAGATCTAAATTGCTGGTTACCTTGCTTTCTTCTACGGATATTATGGAATGTTTTCGAACGATCAAGGCTCTTCTTTAATTTTATAGGGGGAAATATGTCGAATGTCGGCAAGTTTTTAAGGGATAATGTTAATCGAAAAGTTATTCAGGTTTCTAGCTTCAAAAGATACGGATTGAGTAACTTATGGCCCAATTGCCCCAACAATTCAAATAAGTTTACCTTGTTGATAATTATTTTACTAACAATTTTTCTTAGTAGTGTTTCTTGGAGAAATGAGGTTTTCGGCCAATAAAGTTACTATTTTTTTCATAAGAAAATAGGCCAGGGCATTTTAGTTTTCTCTGTAAACATATCTCACCACACCGAAGCTACATTGCCAATAGTCAATTCTTTTGATCCCCATACAAACGCCCCGAAACAGGTTGCAAAATGTTCATCAAAGTAGAAAATCTTTGCGAATGAATATCCGCAATTTCAATGAAAGACAAGTGGTGGCAAAACCCATTTTTCCAAGAAACACCACTAATATAAATTGTCAACAAAGGCTTATCTACAATGTAAGTCTATTATTAACTTCGAACGCAATTGGGCTATAAACTAGTCACTTACCAGTCTTCATAAATTTGTAAAAATCTGGATTCATAATTTAAGAATATGCACGGCACAATTGTTGTAACTGTGCACTTAACACTGTAAAAGATCTGAAGTATTGGCTTCGGACACGGACTGTTTAACTCCATCTGTGGCAAGATGAATGCGATAGACTCTATATTTTCACGGGATTGCAGTAAAATAGATTAAACCTTTATGCTGGTTATCGCTTTTGCAGCCATCAATTGAACACACTCAAGACTACAACCAATTACCGAATGTTGCCCCTTTACTATTAAAAGAACAGGGAGATTCAAAATTCTCCTCATTTTGTCCAATGGGTTAGTTTAGGGAGAGCGAGTAAAATGTTTACATTACTCAACCTTCGAATAGTTAAGGATATTGACAATGCTCAGGGAAACTCTGAATCTTGGTGAAGTTTTTACTATTTCTTCCTGCGTTTTTTATCTAAATTTCAAATGACAAAGCTAAGAGTAAAATATGCCTTGTAGAGAGTTTGTGCGCTCAATTAACGGGATCTCAAACTGGCGGCTTGGAGTCAGAAACACCTCAAAGATAAATTCACTTGAATGTAAGAAAACGGTTTATTTTTATCAGTGCTTGTACTAAAAAAGATTATTTTTCTTAAATGGGGGGAAATCACTTATAATTACATGTATATAATTTTTCGAGTTATAATTTTTCAAGTACTAGCTAAGCCTAACACCCAATAGGGCGCCTACTTTAGATATACACAGTTGTTCATCTCAAATTGCCCTGAAAAAGCCAAATTGAATAGTTTCAAAATACACAACCAACTGATAATTAAAATTAATTAATGGTCCGGATAAATGGCATGCAATTTAAAAGACACAACCGCAATCATCCATCCATATGAATGATCCAGACAGATATTTATTGGCAAATATGCCACGTTACCGCATATCTGTGATAAGGTGTTGTAACATTTTCAAATTGCGCTTTTCAAAACTTATGTATTGCAAGGTGGAATAACGGATGGATTATTTTCTCGAAGAAACTCTAATTCGTTCAAATTTTCTACCTAACAGACCTAATGGGGTATTTATTATCATTTTAAACCATTTGATTTGGTCTCTTGTGAAAAATTGGTGTTGGAAAAATTGGAAAAAGTGGTCGCAACGGAACTTCTGCGTAATCATAATCAGTACTCATTAAGTTTGATAGAAACAAGCACTAACGTATGTCATGGCAAACCATTTAAAGGTTTCTCGCAGATTTTCGAAATAACTCCGAACCAAGTAAAAGTTTAATAAGAGCTACATAAATACATAGATATCGATACATATACAGGGTGATTGGCAAAATTTGCGTCATTCCTCTGGAGGTGTTGTCTGGCGCTGTTATAGGAGTACAGARAAAATAGTAAAAGAAATTAATTGTTATTAAAAACTGAGAAATTTACAAAAAACTATATCAGAAATACGGCAGCAATGTTTTTCAAGGTAATCTGCCTAATTAATATTGCGCAAATACCTGTTGCTTCGTAATTATTAAAAACACCGGTAACCATGGAATTATACAGAGTGACAATAAGATAGACAAGGATAAACGGTAAATTCAACAAGATTCGTTGACTGCGCAACGTACTTTCGACATGATAACCTGTTCTCATAACCTCGAATTATGCGGGGTTTGGTGTTTACATAAATAATCCCTACAACACCAAACATTTGAATGGTTAACTACAAACAAGCTAGTGCCTGTGTAATATCCTTATTATCCACTCTTATCAAGCAGCTTCTCGTATTCAGTTAATTAACTCGTGCTCCATTTGTATCTCCTTGTGCTGTGTGTATCGTACAAACGTGCTAGGAATGTAGCCGGTATTTATTTGGTGCCTGGGAAAGTGTCAGTTATTGTGCTCTGAGTGAAATTTTCGAAAAAAAAAATTTCAATATTTTTCTCGTACTCCCCAAGTAAGCCTTTATCACCCCTTAAAAGGAATGTCGCCAATTTTGAATCACCCTGTATATAGATATTATCATTTTATCCACTTTTCACATTTAATATGAGATCAAAACATTCTTGTTAACGATGAAAACTGATGTTGTGAAATAAGGTTATTAAGTGAAATTGGGCAGATCTCCGCGTCAGGACTACGAAATGTGAATTTTCTATCACAGTAGCGATAGTCATCAGTAACCAGACAGAGTACAACTACCGGATTCGTTGCCAGTTAAAACACTACGTTTTCGCGCGTTATCTAAAAAGTTAAGAAAATAGTGAACATTAAACCACAGTTTCAGAATTGCTATTAATCATCTATATTAATTATATAGTTGTTTAGCTGAAGATAATTCACATTACAGAGTTGTAAAAGCTTATTTTCATTATTTACAGTTTGAAAATACTGACGATGAAATTCGATTAATATTAGGCGTGCGAAATGACTTAAAAATGCAAAAGGGCAAAGTAGCTGCACAATGTGGACATGCCTCGATGGATGCGTTTGCTAAGGTCTATAAAAAATCGCCTGAACTCCTTAAAAGCTGGTTGAAAACTGGTAACTGAGTTTTCATTGTATATGCGGCAATGTATATGCAGCATATCTCGCTAATGTTTCAGGTGGTACAAAGATTGTTGTTCGTGTGGACTCTGAGGCTCAATTATTCGAACTGAATAGTAGAGCGAAAAACTTAAACGTATTTTCCTGCATTATTTGTGATGCAGGTCACACCCAAGTAGATCCAGGTAAAACAGTGTAAAGCAGTTATGCAACTAAAATTTAATAAACGTGTATCTTACACAGTTGCACTTAAAATGCAGTTGCCAAAATAGCAGAATAAATTAGAATCAGAATAGAAACAGAAACTTCACTTAACTTAACGATCAGTTTATACATGCAATTACTTTTTATCAATTACGCACTATCTTATTTAGAAATCATACAGTTTTTAATTCAAATTTTATTTATTAGGTTCAAGAACTGTGATAGCCATCGGGCCCGCTCGAAAAAGTGTCTTAGAGCAGATTACCGGAGACTTGAAGCTGTATTAAACAAATAAAAATTTTTTTATTAACATCGTTGTGTAATTGCCATCATTGCCAATAAAGTCAAAAAATTCTTATCCACTATTTTCCTGTATTGTTTATTTACCTTATGCTCTTAATAATAATGCGTCCTTAAATCTAAAGGTAAAACGACTAGAATATACTATCCCTTAAAAACCTATAGTCAAACGACGAAAGTTTCAGCCAGGTCAAAACCTTCAGTATCCAAAGCAGACCATAAGCTTTAGATATAGGCTATGAAATTTGAAAAAAAATATTTTATGGTTGCAGTTTGGAGAAGGAGATGGTAATTTTCGATTAATGCTAGGTATACGAAATGACTTAAAAATGCAAAAAGGAAAAGTAGCTGCACAATGTGGACATGCAGCAATGGCTGCATATGCCAAAACGCTAAATATACCTAAGTTGCTCAAGCGGTGGAGGAAAAGCGGTAATTTAAGCGAAACCTGCAAGTAAGTAGTCTAGAGCCGCCGTTGGTGTTTTAGGAACCGCAAAAATTGCCGTTCGAGTAGACAGTGAGGAACAATTATTAGAATTAGAGAAGAATGCAAAAAAACTTAATATTTTAACGAGTGTTGTTCGAGATGCGGGTCAAACGCAAGTAGCACCAGGTAATGTAATTTTAATATATTTGAAGCAATTTTATGATCTAATATAACACAGTTAACTTGCGACTTTTGTCTTTAGGATCAAGGACGGTAATAGCAATAGGGCCAGCTCCGAAAAAGGTTTTGGACAAAATTACTGGACATCTGAAATTGTATTAAGTTATAAACCTAATACAGTCTTTACAAAAACAAAAGATATTTTATTAATCATCCTAAATTTGGGCTAGTATCCTATGAAAAGTGCCTACTTTTACTAAGAATACAGTTTATTATTTCCACAAAAAAATCTTTTAAACGGTTTCGGTTTTGAGACATTTGCATGTTTTCACGACTGTAAGCTAAGTATGCGACACCGTGATTGCAGAATTAAAATGACGGTTTTCGTTCAGAATACATTTTGAAATTACACACTTATTTCGGCTGCCAATTTTGAAACATATTTATCAAATTTCCCACGCTATGTTAGAGAATTGGGAATAAAATACAGAACAGCAGTTTTTGCCGAAATTTCTGCAGCACCTCACTTACTTACCTTTTCTAATTGATGGTAGTTTACTAACAAATTGAGAAACATTTTGGTGCAACAAGCAATGTTTGGGTTAGCCGATTAGCGATGCCTTCTACTCCACAGAAGTAGGACGTTGTTCCTCCGTATTAACCCGAATACAAAATTGGGCAATGGGTGCGAATAGACCAACTGCCCTCAAAATGTTCATTGCCTATTGAGATCATTGAAGAATTTATTTCAAAAAAGGATATAAAAATCGGGTTTTAACCCAAAACCCAATTTGAAACGAATTGAACCATTATACATTTATTTAGAAAGACAACTAGTATTGGAGAAAACCGCCGTATTAAGTAAACTTAAGCAAAAATAAATTACTTACTCAATTCAATTTATTTTAAGACATTTTAATTTCCGCGATTTTGGAGGGTGGTATCGAAATAATGGTTCATATTCGGCGATTTTCTAAAATTGTGCAGCTGCAAATTTTTAAACCACTCGCTGCCGCAGCATTGTAGTCATCGAAACTAACATGCTGAATTATTTCTAAAATACGCAGGTTCTTATCACAACAAATGATAACCGTTGGATTGTAAAAAAAACGAAAAAACTAGATTTAATATTTTATAATTTCCAGGCAAGCCAACAATACATGACAATAGTTTTTCTGCAAAAAAAAATATTTTATAATTCTACAGTCACTTATAAAGAACAAAAAGCCTTTTTGTTTCTTTTGGTAAAATGCAGTTTCTGATTTTAAAAGAAATACCCGCCGTATTTTCTCACAAAAGTAGCGCAATATTTAACATTTGACACTTTCGGTAGAAAAACGATGCCCGCCAATGGTATTTCTGGAAGGGGAAATTAGTTTCTAGTTCGACATTCAGTTGGGAACAGAAAAGCTGTTTTGAGTCTTTTTGCTGAAATTCACAGGTTTTGAATAATAAATGAAAAGCGGATAACATTTGAGATTTTGCATACAGGACGACGGTTCACACAACATAAAATATGCTCTTGAGTTTTTTGCTAAAATGCAAAAATGCTCTTGATTTTATCGTGCAGCGCACCACTCTSCGCGAGTATTTACAGATAATCGATCGAGACGCCGGGGAAATACCGATTCGGAAAAACCCACAAACTGGAGGTTTTTTATTTTATATATGGRCCTCTAAGGCCAGAAACACAAGCAAAAACATTTTACAGGGTGTTCCATTTAAAAAAAGTGGGTTTGAAACAACTGCCGGTATAACCGGTAGTCGCCTAAGATCGCTGTTATTTCATCTGAAAGGAGCGTCTCCGAAAATCGTATTATGCAAATTTGCAGAATTCAAACCGCATCACTTTCCAAAATGTTCTAATGGACGCTGACCGTGAGACACCCTGTATATTACAATATTCCGACCTAAGACTTTTTATTTAAAGCTATTATAATATGTATAATAATAGTTAAATATAAAAACTGGAGGTAGTTTTTAGTACTTATTTTACTTTTTATGTAAATTGTTCTTTATTTTTTTGTCGTACTTTTAAGGTTCTCATTTGTAATATAATTGTACATACATTGCCCTCAATTGTACGTACATAAGATTTATTAAATGAAAATGTKGTTAGCTAACCGTCAATARAGTAACGAATCTAATGGTTATATCAGAGACAAGTTGCTCTGTCTCTGATGCCTCTGTGCTACTTGTCTCTGGTTATATATATTTATATTACATTGTAACCCAACCAGACCTAACTTCACGTATAAATATTAAGTGCAAATCAAATAATAAATACTGGCATAATTATGCATGAGCTTAAAAAGAGTTTAATACCTCAAAAAGCATTTGATATTTTTAAGAGAATTGAACAATTATACAAAGATCAAGGAAGAAGTAAGTATACTTAAATATAGGTTAGAAATTTATATATTTATGTGTAAATCAATCATTGAACTATATATACTAACGTTACGTTAGTATATAGTTCAATGAAATCAATAAAGGTAACGTGTGAACCTGAAAGAGAAGTAAAAAATGATTTCACTAATAGAACTATAAATTATTGTCACTCTAATCGGTTGAGAAAAATTCATTGGTCCAAAACTTAATGTTTCAAGTGAAATCATGAAAGTGAATTAAATACCGGGCCTGGATTTAAATGCGTAAACTTATTACAGTTTTATCACAAACCTGTTGAACTTCATGAAAATGTTTGCATCTCATCATACGTTTAAGTTAGAAATGTTTTCTGATAAAAAATGACGGTAGAGATGTAACTCTTGATAAGAGTAGTATTTGGTACAAAGTTCCAAAATTTTCATAGTCTGAAGTTTCAAAAGTTCGAAACTGAGGCAAATCTGCGCAAAACCGCTGAATGGTGGTCCATCCATCACCTTCCGTAGTTAGTGTTAGTGCTTATCTAAATTGAAAAGAAACGAAGTTAAACGCGATGGAATTCAAACGTAACCGTGCAATTGCTCTTTATTTGGATGAGAAGTATCAGAAGGACATCGTTAATCAGTTAAAACACCTTAAAATGAGTAGAAAGTTTGGGTTAGTATGGGACTATAGCGCGATAAAATGGTACTGGCTGCATTGCAGATCGCTATGGAGGTGGTCCGGCAAATACTAATGCAACACCAGGAAACATTCGAAAACTGCACATATTGCTTGAGCATAAAGCAACACATTGAAAAATGAGTTGAAAGTCAAGCCTTGCAAGTTTCGAAAAGTACACACAATTACCGCCGAACAAAACACGTTACAGTCCAAAAAGCAAAGGAGTTACTTTGCTTGTAACGCGCCGCGAGGTCTCTGAATCCCAAGCACTCACTAGTTACCGAAAGCGGCAGACGTGACCGCAATTTCGTCTTTTAATTTTTCGTCGATGTCTTTAGTTGGGCGGCTTAAGTCCGCAAAAGAACTATCAGCTACTGTTTTTGCGTTGGTGAGTGCTGAAAACCATATCCTGTTTAGCGCCATTGTCTCTTCTTTTCTGTTGAAATTGTCGTCGTGTTTGTACATTTCAATGGTTTCTCGTATTAGTCGCGGGCGATACCCTGTTGTTGTGGCCCGGACTTGTGCCTCTCCGAAATAGATGTTGTGTGTTCCATAGCTGAGGACTTCCCCACATGTCCCAGTTTACTGGGACATGTGGGACATTACCTTTAATTCCGTCGGTGTTCTTCTATTCTTGTCGCAACCGATCTCTTAGTAGTTCCTATGTAGACGCTTCCACAGGAGCATGGAATCCGTTAGATTCCTGCAGTTGCGAGGGGGGGTCTTCTGTCTTTAACTGACCCTAGACATTCTCGGATCTTTGTTGTGGGCCTGTAGATTGTTCTTATGTTGTGTTTCCTCAGGAGCCTCCCAATTCTGCCCGTAACCCTGGGAACGAAGGGCAGGAAAGCTTTCAGAGTGGATGCACTTTTTTCAGCACGGCCCACTCCTACAGCTTTTTTGATGTCCAACTGGGAATATCCGTTCTGAAGAAAAGCTGTTTCCAAGTGCTGTAGTTCTGTGGTTAGATGTTGTGGTCCACATATTTTTATGCCTCTATCCGTAAGAGTCTTAATGATTCTCTGCTTCTGACTCGGATGGTGGTTAGATAGCTTGTGAAGATATCTGGCCGTGTGGGTGGCTTTTCGATATACCTTGTGGCCCAAGCGATTCCCCTCCCTAGACACCAAAACATCCAGGAAGGCCAGTTGGTGATTTTGTTCAACTTCCATGGTAAATTAGATGTTTGGATGCTGTTTGTTTAGATGGTCGAGGAAGATGTCCAGGTTTTTGGGTCCATGCCTCTATAGGACGAACGTGTCATCGATATATCGATACCAAATCGTTGGTTTAAGGGGTGCGGTGCTCAACGCTGTTCCCTCAAACTTCTCCATGAATAAATTCGCCACCACCGGACTGAGTGGGCTTCCCATGGCTACTCCTTC